CAGCAGGCAGGGGATGAGCTGCTGTGTCTTGTGCTCGGTGTCCTGGCTGTCAACTCTGTGGATTCATGTTGCTGACGTGGAAAGAAAGTCTTCAGTTATGCAGAGTGAGTTGTGCGTTTGGCATAAATAAGTACAAGTTTATCAGCTTTTGCTGCATAGCTGAAATGCTGCCTTTTTTTACCGCTGTTTGGGCATGCTGCTGTGCTTGTGATCACTTTTACCAACGTGGTACATTGGGCTGGGCTTAGAAACGGGAAGGTTTTCAGAAGAACAGGACCCAGGGCTGTTGAGATGGCAGTCGATGGTGGAAGTGCACCTTAGGGGTCAGAAGGTGCAAGACTGAATTTCAGCTTAGCTATAGACACGTTCCTTCTGGAAAACAACCAACGTCAGTGTTTGAAATTAAGGTCAACGCAGTGCTTTATTCATCCTTTTTCATTCTAAATGTGACTCCCATTTTGTGTCAGTACCAAGTAAATTTGAGACGCGTGTATGCATCCTCAGTTTCAACTACATGTTGATGGTTTGTACCCTGATGTGGACGGCTGCTTTCCTTTCTATACTTTTTACTCGACTGAGGGCTTTTGGGGTGCTGGAACTTTATCCAGGGCTTCCCTTACTGGCTTTACAGCTTGGATATGTGAAGTTGCAGACTGATTTTTGTGTACATTTGGCTTGTGAGTGTCACTTTGTCATCTCAGTCTCCCATGTTCTGAGCAGTTGTTTCGCATTGTAAGTTGTTTGGCACAAGTTCGAGTTGTAAAGTGGTTCTGTTGTGACTGACTGTAATAGCACTTGATGCTAATGAAGTGTTTATTCATGCCGCTGCCTTTAATGACAGCTATCTTCTAATTTGGATCTTTGATGATACCATAGGTAAAATACACACTCTTACTATGCTGTGGTACGTACCTGTACTCTGTCTTAAATCTATTTTGAACTAGTACCTTCTTTCTTCTAGCAGTTACTACTTGCGCTGCTTGCCCTTATCCTCCTGGTTTGCACGTATCTCCTTTATTACCTTTCTGAGTCCAAGGAAGATGAAGTGCCTGACCCTCACAACAGCAGTAGCAAACTGTGAGACAGGCTGTGCTGTGGTCACCATCCTTGGGTGCATTTAGAAGCTGTCCAGATGTGGTGCTCAGGGACGTGGTTTGGAAGGGGACATGGCAGAGTGAGGTGGCGGTTGGACCCGATGAGCTCAGAGGTCGTTTCCAGCCGTAAGGATGCTGTGATCCTGTGACCTCTGCTGGGAAGCGCACAGCAATCGAGCATGCGAGTGTCCAGAGCCCAGTGTGACGGTTCCCCACGCAGGCTGGGTGTGCTGTGCCCAAGGGGAAGCAGTTCGTTGCCCTGCAGTTCCCTGGTGGTTTGGGAGGTGGGATGGGAGGATCAGGAGTGCGTCATTCTGCAATGGCTGGGGTTTCTAAGCCCGTGCTGCCGTTCGTAGTGGCTGAGATGCGCACAGGGCCTGAGTGGTTGATAGCGAAATCCTTCCTCCTGTTGGCTCTCAGCACGCGCCTTCAGTGCTTGCAGTGCACCCATACCTGTGTGCAGGACTTGGGGTTTGCAGTCGGACTTTTGGGAGTTTTGGGCGACAGCAGGGGGTTCATTTTTCTCTGCTTGGGACTCCTGTGCCAAGTGGTTCTTGTGCTGCATTTGAGGCAATTTGCTCCTGACTGTTTCAGCAGCTGTTGGATTCACTGACATTTTGGTGTTGTTACGTGAGGTGAATGCAGACTTGCGGACTGAATTAAACATTTAGTAGTGGATTTATTTTACTGTAGAATTGCCTCATTTGAGCGTTGAAGCAGGACCGTCTCCCTTTATTTCCCTTATCTTGGGCATCACTTAAACAAATGTCTCGTGCTGGATGGGTTCATGAACCTCAGAGGTTCAGCATCCTTCTTCCCAATGTAATCTGCTGGATATCTGGGATTGTGTCGACACCTGGGGTTTGGTGATAGCGATGAGGTTTCATTGCGGTGTCTGCGTTGGTGGGATCTGTGACTGTCACTGCTCAAGAACATTCAGCGTACAGAATACCTGACGTGCCTGATGTATCCGAGCACACGGAGGAGACATGAAAGGATTCTTCCATTGGTCCTGCTTTTCTACAAGATTGGTGCATAAATAAGCTGTAAACGGTTGGACACATTTGGGTTTCCTAAATAGGATGGCTGTATTTATGTCTGTGCCAAAAAATAGAAGTGGCTGCCTTTCATTTTGAGAGAGCTAGCAGGAAAATAGGACGGTATGTGAAGTAACGAGGTTTTACATCCTTTCCAAAACTGAATAAATACCCGATTTTAAAACTAATGCTCATTTACGAACTCAAATAGCCACGAGCTTCTTTGTTAATTTTAAATATCATTATTCCAAAGTGGGCTTTTGTCCTGCTTTAGTTCCCAGTTGAAACGGATGATGAGGAGTACCTGTCAGCTTGCCATGTGGTGTGCAGACTGAACCCAGCGCTGGCTGGGAGTCCCCTCTGCCCCGAGCAGGTTGCTTCGTCTGTCCCTGACACAGCTCTGAGCAGCAGTAAAGCAGACGAACCCACCCTGCGGGGACGTGGTCGTTCGGAGCAGAGGAGGACGTAACTTCCTCAATTGATCTGGAGCATTACAAACCACACAGGACGTTTTGGGAGAGCTGTTGTTAGGCTGTTAGCCGTTTTCACTTAAATTGGGAAAAAACGCAGGCTCCTTGGTGCAGATGTTTTTTGTGGTGTTCCCCAGGCACGCAGCACAGCCGTTTCTGTCCATGCTGTGGGGATCGTGGCACTTCATGCGTTCTTTGTAGTAGAAACAGAATTCTGCTGATGTTACCCTGTAGAATATGAATTTTAATATTAAACTTAATGCTCTGCTATGAGAAATATGTAAACTTGGCTTTGGAGCAGCAGTATGCACTTCCTGGAATTGTGTGCATAGCGTGGTTATAAATAAGCCACAGGTTGTTTGGAATCGCTGGACTGGTCTGGGATCACAAACGGTATCGGGGAGAGGTGGTTTGCCCTGACAGCCAGTTCAGTATTGGAGAATGCAAAGTGTTTTAGTTTCAAAATTCGTAGCAGTAGCAAGCACACGTTGTGCGTGGTGATCAGCGCACAGAGCAGATACACATACACATACACATACACATACACACGCTCATGCAGCCCTGAGGGCAGGCGTTTGGTGCACCCTGAGGGTTCCTTCTGGTGGGGGTCAGGGGACCGACCCCCCCTGCCCCTGGTGGGCTCCCCATTGCCAGGGCTCGGAAGCTGCCCCTTGCTCTGGGATTTGGTGCATGAAGCGCAGCTTGGGGCTGGCTTCCCACGGCCTCTCTGCTCAGCAGAGACCGCCCGGGGATCCTCAGTGGCTCTCTGGAGTCTCCGGGTTGTTGGGGTTTTGCCATTTTCAATGGTTTTCAGCACAGGGGGGTATGAAGGACAGTGAACAGTGGACAGTGAATTGCTGTTATAAATGAGCAAATGGCAATCACAATGCATAGATTAGATTAGATTAGATTAGATTAGCTGCAGGGATGACTTCCAGCACGTCCACATCGCTGCTGCGTGGGCAACCTCGCACAGCTCTGAAGGTGCCCTCCCTGGATGTGGCCCAAAGTGGTGCTGTGGGTGTCTGGTTCGGCTCAGTGCAGACAGGTCAGTGGAAATCTGTCGGAAGGTGAACTGTCCATGAAGGGCAGTTGGCTGTATATTGGTGTGGTGTGGGCTCAGCTGCTTCTGTGTTTGCTCCAACCACCTCCACTGCTCTCTGCAGCCTGGCATGCCCCTGCTGCTGGCCTTGTTCTCGTGATGAGCTGAATTTTGGTGGGGCGTGTGGCTCATTTCAGTGTGAGCGCTCTGTCACGCTCCAGGCTGCTTTATCATAGCAGCAGTCGCTTGGACGCATGGCATTTTGGGGTGATGCGGTGCTGAGAGATGGGGGAATCTCTGTGCAGCGCCTGACTCTGCTGTCTGTGCTTTTCATTGAGTTTATTTCTGGGTTGCCCTGTATTACTTACCAGCAAGTAATCAACAGACCCACGTGTACATGATTCAGACAGGAGCCAGCCTGCCTTTCTGGCGTGCACGGGGATGTGTTGTAGTTGGATGGATAGTAACAGCCACGTTTTAAAGAAAAATCACCCCTGAGATGTGGATGAATTGACAATAGAAGTTACTGGTGCAACTCTGCTCTTCAGGCAACACAGTTAATTATAAAAATTGTTTAACGCTGAATGGTTTTGAGGTGTCTCTGAGTGATAAACATAACACCTGGACAGTGCTTTAAAGTTATGTTATTTAAAGTAATCACAGTCCCTTCAGTATGGGAATGTCTTCAGCTAGAAATGCTGTATCTGGTGTTATTGAATACATGGGTTGAACAGACTTTATTGTTTGGTGAGAACTTTGATGAGAGCCATTTCTGGGCTTTCTGGAGCCCTGCAGTGAGTGGTATCAGTAACATTTTCCCTCTCCAGGCCTATCCTTAGTTCGTTCACCTCTGCAGATGTTTCCTGTTCCATTTCTCCCGCACATCCCTGTAAGGAGATCGCCAGCAGCACACGGAGGGGTCTTGTGCGGGTTCTCATGCTGGTGAAGTGGGGGCACAAGTGGGTGACTAGACACTGCCTGGGGCCCGTCTGAGCATCTCCACAACCACCACGTGCTGCAAGGACGGGGGAGCTCGGATCCCCTGAAGGGCCGTGTTTGTCCTCTCATGGTCACAGCTGTGGCATGGGCATGGCGCACAGCTGGGGCGTTGAAGTGATGCTGCAGACACCACAGATCAGGCACAGCGCGACGAGCGCGGCTGCCACCGTCAGCTCTGCTCCACTAGAGGAATTACCACACGGGTCATGGGCAGCAGTAACGGGGCAGAAACCAGGAGCTGCTGGAATGATGGTACTCAACCATCTCATCCATTTTGTCTGGGTTGGTGTTTATTGTTTTTGCTATTGTGGTGTAAAGATGCCCTCAGAGGTGAAATGACTCCTTTTTCTGTTGACAGACCAGAGACGACTTCCTGGGCCAGGTGGATGTGCCGCTCAGTCACCTTCCGGTAAGCAGCACTTTTGTCATCCCCAGATGGGAAAAGCCCCAGTGTTACGCAGAATTTACTTCCATAAGGAGTCCAGTTACATTTTCTTGAACATTTCCAACATCGCATCATTAGAGGCTCAAAATAAAATCTTATGGGCAAGGAAGCACCACCGTGCACAGGAATTGGTAGAAGTGGTGCAGGGACAAGGCAGGCAGCTGCTCTCTGGTATCTGTTGACTTTCTCAGCATCCAGGATCCACTTCTCATTCCAATTCTTTCCTAAAACCCTGCTCTGGTTGGGGAAGCTTCTCTGGACGTGGCTGCTGGGTGGTTGTTTCTCACCCACTGTGGGGATTTTTGTCCTGGGAATCTTCTGGCTTCTTCCTTTTTTAATGATTGTCCCTTCCAGTTGAACCAGTTGTTTCCTGGTTCAGGCACTGAGCTGCCACTGAAGAATAACATTCACTGTGCTAAAATGATGACACTTTGCAAGCCAGAACTTCCCAATTCCTCAAGGCTCTCTGAAGGTGAATGTGGTTCCCCTCTCTCCATCTTCACTGAAAATTTCTGCAGCTCCAGAGCCACTTTTTTCCCAAAAACATCCTCCAGGACAGCTCACAACCCAGATTTCAGAGCAGCCGCTCTCCTCGAGCTGTACCACAACAGGGCCTCCACGAGCCCGGGATGCGCTCAGCCCCTGTGCTAATTGGTGTTTATGTGCTTGTTAAGGTGTGCACGCTGATTTGATGCTCAGGGGAATGTGCTGTGTGTCTTTATGTTCTAATCAATACTTTCCTCATTCATCCTCCTGGTACCTTAATAAGAGACATCATGGTGTACATATTAACAAATGTTTGCTCTCTCCTGCTGGTACTGCTGACTTGTTTGTCAAAATCCTTGTGTTCTCTAATGCTATCTAATTGTTATCTACAAATTTTGTTAAAGTATACAGCTTCTTTCACCTGTGTTACAGACAACTGAGCACTAGAAAGCAGTGCTTGTCAGTCACACGTGCTCTGATGTACGGTTGACTTGGTTACAGTCTGTGGTCTCAGTGCAGGATAAGAGTTCAGTGAACAAAGTCTGTGTGATGTTTGGTGTGATACTGAGATAGTGAGTTAGGATTGAGTTTTAAATTCTTGTTTATTGACTTTGAAGTACAACAGACAACAAAGCTGTAAATGAATAACAGTCTGGAGTGAGATTGTTCTGTGTTTAGAAAGGTTTCATTAAAGCATTGGGCTCCAGTCCGCAGGGCCAGGGCTGGGAAGGGATTTACAGATACGCTGTCATGTAATGCAGCGGATGGCAGATGAGCACAACGTACTGAGAGCTACCCACAACTTTTGTTACCCAGTTTTGTCAGCCCAAATCATAGGATCAATCAGAATAAAGTACCCCAAACTATCAACAGATTCAGTGTGTCCACCCATTTCTGATTGGCTTATTTACCTACTGGATTTTAAACTCCTAGTGTGTACCCATAGCATCTGTGCTCTCACAGGCATGAAGGATGTAACTTACTTGAAAAGAAAGCTGAAATTCTCATGTAATGAGAAGTTTTCAAGGTTTAAGGCTTTATGAAACTTACAATTAAGTGGAAATCAGAAGACGTCCTCTGTCAGCCTGATAGTGCTACTTATGTGCAGCATGAAAGATTTCCCAGTCTCGGCTGCTTTGGCGTTAGCAATGGAAGCCAACTGAGGAGGGGTTTGATTTCATCCCTTTCTAACATGCAGAAAAAGTGCTGCTTCAAAATGGCTGCAGCCTCTTCTGGCACCGGTGGGTGCCTGGGAGAGCTGGAAGGGGTTGGGTTGGCTGCTCTTTCCCCCTGTTTTCCGGCGGCGAGCGCTGTGCAGCGAGCAGTGCGGGTCCGGGTCCTGTCCCCGGGGGCTGCAGTGACACCTCGCGTTGTGGCTGGGAACGGCTGCACCGCTTCAGCTCTGGTGGGAGTGCTGCTGTGTCTGCCTGTAACTGCTGTTTTCTTAATGCTGCAGACTGAAGACCCGACCATGGAAAGGCCGTACACGTTTAAGGATTTCCTTCTCAGACCAAGAAGGTGAGCAGGAGCACCTTTGCATTTTAAAGCATTTCTTGCTTTGAGGTTTGTGATTTGCAGCTATAGAAGGGTTGCTGAGTGAAATGTACCTCCTTGTCTTCTAGCCACAAATCTCGTGTGAAGGGTTTCTTGAGACTGAAGATGGCTTATATGCCTAAAAACGGTGGCCAGGAGGAAGACAACGATCAGAGGGATGAATCTGAGGTGAGGCTTAGTGCTTGTGGTAGCGCTCAGGTTATTAGGGATTTGAGTATAATTGTAGAAAACGTCGTACCTCTGCAGTATAAAACCCTGGCAGCAGCGTTAGTAGCAGCTTACTCAGCTTATTCCCCCTTTCCTTTTTTTTACTGTAACCTGGTGTTTTCTCACCCATTTCAAGTATCTCAGAGTATTTCAGCTGCCAGAAGGAATTCTAAATGACTCAGTTTGCGAGCAAGCAGAAGTGGAAGTCATGCCAAGCAGAATTCAGAAAGTCTGTGCACGTAATTTATACACGTAATGGTCTGTGTTAGGTACCACGTCTTCAGAGGCCATTTCAAAGCAGATGTTATAACATTTTTCTTGACGCTGCGGAGAACAAAGCTCGCACGAGGACAGCAGGTCTAAAGACCTCTCAGTCCTTATCAGCCATGCCCACTGTAGGAACTGGCTGCAGCAAGGGCTGACAGCCACGCCAGCCTGGCTCTGCCCTCCTCGCCGAGGCTGCACAGCGCTCGCTGTGCCGTGGCTGAGGGCTCTGAGCCCCAGCTCTGGGCTCTGGCAGCAGCTGCTGCTCTGTGGCTTCTTGAGCAGGAGCCTGCTCATGGCACCGCTGCAGCAGGCAGCCGCCCAAAACGTGTGGGAATTCCAGTTGTCAGACACTGATGGATTTTAGGGGTTTTGTCATGGAAACAGGGTGCACACTGTAACCACGGAGTTCATTCTATTTCTGTATGACTTATGTTTAAGTAAATTTGAACTTCTGTGGAAATTTTTCCAGAATCTGTAAGTGACAATGAATGAACTCTAACTTGAACTTTAATGTATTTGTTCTCCATTCCTCAGCACGGCTGGGATGTGGTTGATTCCAATGACCCTGCATCGCAGCGTCAGGAGGAGCTGCCGCCTCCACCGCTGCCTCCTGGGTGGGAAGAGAAGGTGGACAACCTGGGGAGGACTTACTACGTCAACCACAACAACAGGACCACGCAGTGGCACCGGCCGAGCTTAATGTACGTGGCAGCGTAGTGCAGTGTCTCGTGGATGTGTGCAAAATTATCAGTAAGGGCGGTGATTTTTTCCAGCAAACATAGCCATTTTGAATTTACACATTCAAGGCCGGAAAAAGTCTTAAGCACAACTTTTATGAAGCAGTTTATAAAGGCACGCGATTCTTTTCAGTAGCAGAGTAATCGTAATCTTGATGCTGTGTTGCGTACCTGAACCTATGCTTTATTCATGGAAAAATTTTCTCAGATGAACTGGTAAATTAAGAACCAAAGTCTGGGTAGCTTCAGTCAAAAAGGAAACGTCTTTTTTTTAAGAATGGAAGAGACTTCCTCACACCAGCAGATCACGTTTACACATAGACGGTGTGGGAGTTCTAGGAAAGGCGGGAGGGAAGTCTGGGCACTGACACGTACCATAGGATATTGGGAGACAGGTGTGGAATTTGTCAGTAAGTAGTTTAACAGGGATAAGTTACTTTCTTTTGTAGATACTGTTGAAAAGGTAAGGAGAAAAAAAGTCAATGGTGAATTTTTAATTAAGCTCAACTGATTAATTTGAGGAGATCCTGATTGCTGTTCTTTTCCCCTTCACATGCTCTGGTTTCCCCACTCGCAGTGATGTGGGCTCTGATTCAGACAACAATATCAGACAGATAAACCAGGAAGCAGCCCACAGGCGGTTCCGCTCCCGCAGACACATCAGTGAGGACCTGGAGCCGGAGCCCATGGAGAGCGGAGACGTTCCTGAGGTGTGTGCAGGGCCTGGCTGTGGGAGCCGAGGGAATTCTCGCTGATGTGGTGCTCATTTGTACGCTAATCACCACACAACACGCCTAGTAACGTTTTCCATGGTGTTTATGGAAACTGCCTAGGTAAAATACCAGTGACACTGTAAAAATCCTAAGCAGAGCTGTACTTTCAAGGTCCCGCGCGTTTGTGGGTGCCTCATGGTGTATGCACAACATTAAATACTGTGCAAATGCTGGGAGGAACATTTGTAGTGCAAACATTGCATGTTATGTGTGTATATGTATGTTATGTATATATTACATATATATATGTTATATATATGTCAATAGAAACGCTTGCAATATTCTGCTTTGAATAACAGTGGAACAAGTTGTAAAAAGAAGGGAAACATGGCTGGAACTGCCAAGTATTTCCATTTTCTTTAGAGGAAAGAGAAGCTGTTGATTTTTTCCCCAAAATATGTGGTTTTAGTTAGAATTCTGAGATCTTATTAATCAGGGTGAGTGTTTCTTTAGTTTGTAGCTAGACTAAATGAAAATTTGGTAGATACCTGTAGGCCTAAGTGAGAGTTTGTGCAAAGTCTGACCCCGTTCAGCTTTAAGGAGTATTTTGTTATGTGAATCACAGAGTGTTTTGTGACAGCCAGTTTTGGTTCACTAAACGTTCTTCAGAGCAACAGATAGATTGCTGAAGCTCGTTGCACTCAGCAGCTGTTGGTATCTGATTTGCAGATACTAAAGAGTACTTTCTTTTATGCATTTTATTCTAAATTAAAATTAACTGTTAATTAAAATTAACAACGATTAACTGTTGTTCCTTACAAGTTCTTAGTAAGGTTGGAGGATTAGTAACATTTTGAACAACATTTCAAGTGTTTTTAAAGTATTTAATGAAAGCTCTTTTAATTGCACCTTGTCATTACCTCACTTTGTGTGTTGAGTTGTTTCTGTCGTCATCAACGTGGAGGCCGTTTTGAAGACAATGTGGAAATGGTTTTTCCCTGTGACTGAATGTTTGTGTGCGTGTCCTAGGGACTGGTCTACTTTGTTAAATGTTAGGGCTGATGATCACATAGGAGGTAAAGGGGAAGAAATCTCCATCTGTCTTTGTAGATCTTCAACGAAGTTTCTTCTCTTCCGTTAGCCCTGGGAAACGATTTCGGAGGAGGCAAGTGCCAGTGGAGACTCCCTGAGCCTGTCCCTGCCGCCGCCCCCTGCATCCCCCGTGTCCCGCACCAGTCCCCAGGAGCTGTCTGAGGAGCTGAGCCGACGCCTGCAGGTCACTCCTGATTCCAGCGCGGAGCAGCTCAGCTCTCTGATTGTACGTGACGGTGACGTGCTGCTGTCTGCAGACGCCTGTGCCCGGGGTCTTCAGTCGTTTACACGAACGGGCAGTAATTGCAGGTCTCACAAAAACCTGAGCATACAGTCAAAGTTATCTTCCAAAAAATGCGTCATGATTTCACCACAGAGCAAACTGTCTTGAACAACATAAACCTTCTGTTTAGATTTAATGTTTTCTTCTGCATGAGCTTAACTTCAGACTCAGCTACTGTTACACCTTTAGTGAAACAGAATATTTGTTACTAGAGAGTATCCAGCTAAGAATTTCCTCAGGAGAGAGGAAAAACTGCTAATGCTCTTTCAATCATCACCCATTGTACTACATGATAATTTCTCTTTAGTTCAGTATTTTATCTGTACACGTTTGCATTAAAGCATGTGCTTTATTGTGTTAGGATTTTATAAAACGCCTCATAGTTTACTGGATCAATTATTATAAGGCTAAGAAAGGATTAGAATTGAAAGTAGGTAGTTCTGGTGAGATCCTCAGGTTTGTAAATGGCTGATCAGGAAGAAATCTGTAAGAGTTTTACTTGAAGTGAAACCAAAAGATGTTCTCTATATTTGCGTTATCCATTAGTTTGTGAGCTTGATGATAGCACAGGAAATAAGGGTAATACACTTGTTATGTCTCCGCCTAGGAAAACAGTGATCAGTGTTAAAGAGAACGTCATGCTGTGATTTAGTCACTTGGAATATGCCATCAAGGTACCCTTGCAATTCAAGAGATAAGAAATCATGTTTGCTCTTGTTCCGATTAGACAGAATCTTGATTAGATGCAAGTTTCTCACAAAGAGCCTGTGCAGTAGGTTTCTCGTAATGATTTGAATGTTATCTAGAGGTTAGTTAGCAACTCACAGCTCTGACAGCCAACTGCCTGCATGAAGAGCCACTTGTGCTCTTGTAGATGAGTGCGGATTTTAGTAGACCTTCACTTGGAGGGCAGGAGGTTAATCAAATCATTTCAGTGGCAAGATCAAGGCCTACACTTTTTTACACTAAATAAACAGATGGTAGAGCTGCAAAGTTATCTTAATTAAAATAATTCAGTAATTATGTTCCTATACAGACTAGCTCTTTTATGAGCCATTAAGCGATAGCATCTTTCTTATCAGTGCCATAGAAATTGTAATAAGACCACACTTGCAAAGTAAGAAATTGTCAAGGCATTTAAAAGCCGTGTTCCTGTGCGTTGTCCAGTGTGAGGGTGTTGGGATACTGAAAGTAACAGAAAGAATCAGACAGTGCAGTTCCTCTCAGGCGCTTGCTGAGGCACCCAGAAGCCTGCAGAGCCTGCATGGGTCTGTGGGGTTTAGGGTGCAGCCCCAGCAGCTCCTGTCTGAGCTGAGCTCCCCTCCGCCCCGGCCCCGTCCCACAGCTCAGCCTCAGTTGGTCCCAGTAACAACAGATCCTGGCAGGCACAGGACAGGAACAGGCGGGAGCTTCATTTGGATTGAGCCTGGGGGCAGGAAGAGTATGGGGCGCCCAAGCTGTAACCCACGAGCTCAGGTACAACCGCCTGGCACCTCCTCTTGATCCAGGATCCCGATGGCTGAGATCCACTTCATGACCTTGCATGGAGGGTTGCTTTATGATTCTTGATCAGGAAGGATGTGTCTTGGGAAGTTCAAAAACTAGAAGGCAAAGAGGAAAATTAAGACTTGATGTCTTAAATGAAACACCATACATTTTTTAGGTAATAATTTTTTAGGACTTTGAGGTCTCATCAATAGTATTTGATTTATTGATATGCATTGCCTCTGCTTATGCTCCCTCCAGGTTCTCCAAAACATCTTCCAAAGATACTTGCAAATAGTTTTTGGAAGTTCTGTGGCATTTTCATGTCTCATTATGTCTTTAGTTCATCCTCCTCTTTACTGCTGATCCCACAACTGTAATTTTCCTGCCTATCCTCCTCTCTTGGGTTAGGTCAGTAGCACATTAACGTGGATGCTAGGGCTGAGTGCAGGTTGCGTATCCCGGTACTTTCTTTTTCTCAGTTAATCTGAAACAGTCCAGGATGGAATGGTGAGAATTTAGATATTTCAGTGCTTGCCACATTTCTGTAGAAGTATTAAAACTAAAGACTTTGCAACATAAGTACTGGTTTTTAGAGGTTTGGATTAAACAGGAGAAAAGTAAAGTTACTGAATAAAGCCCCATGTTTTAAGACACATTAACTTAAAAGACTTCTTTCCTTTTTTTCTTGCAGCAAAGAGATCCTTCTTCAAGATTAAGATCTTGCAGCGTAACAGACACGGTTGCTGAGCAGTCTCAGTTATCCCTGGTAAGTCAAAGTTAACTTCTGTTTATTTCTTCTTGCTTGAGCACTCTCTGATTCTGAATAATATCTTTTCTTAGGTCAGTTCTAGTCAGATATAGAGCAGGCACCTGTATGGGCATACGACTGTCCCCAGTAGTAGTGGATACCAAATTAATACCATCACGGTCAGCAGCTACCAGAGGACATTAATGAGAGAGCAACACGTTTTCAGCCTGAGCGCGTGGTCACAGAAACTGAAGTTATCTAACACGGAGGTCCAGTGTACTGAGCTCTGGGTGGAGGCAGTGGAGCAGGGGATGCTCCAGGGGTGCTCTCAGCTGGGGCAGCACCGTCCACACTGGGAGCTGCGCAGCCACAGCGCTCTTCTGCCAGACACGTTTCTGTGTGCATAGATATGTTTTACTGGGCGTATATAAATCTGTATGGCACTAAAAACATCGGTGTTTTGCCCCGTTGTAGTTTAAAGGAGACTTTTTGTGATAGTCCTCATACGATAGAACTGAGCAGATTTGCATCTGTTGTAGATGTTTAATCTGATTTAGGTAAGCAGCTGCTTCTGCAGTTTTATTTAAGAAGATCATTCAAGCAGGAAAAGATATAAAGATTTTTTTTTAAAAAAGAGTCTCTTTCACATCATAACCACCTTTGATCTAACTGATAGGAAGGAAGCTCTGTGTATTTTTTCCTGCAATGCAAGTGTGAGGATTGCAGAGGTGGTAGGCTGTAGAGAGACTTCATAAAGTAGAAATGTGCAAGACAGGCTTTGGAATAAAACCGTACAGGTTTTCAGAACAGTTTAATATTTAAAATAAATAGATTTTTCTTCCAGAATTTTTTCCCAATTCTTTTATTAGAATTATATTGCATATGGACCTACAAATAGCAAATTTGTTTCTCTTTTTAATGGAATCATTGGGTAAATAGAGTATATTGGTAAGTTTGTTATTAAAGCTGCTGTCTCTCCTTGGCCCTTTCTTTCTGTTGCTTTCGGTCAGGCATTTCCACCGACCATAGGAGTTTGTTTCCTTTCTTCACATGTTGTAGAAGTTTTTTCTCTGCATTTGCTGCTCCAGATGCCTGTGAGGGCTCTGGTCTGAGAACTGCTCGGGACTGTTGTCCCTGCCCCTGCTCTCCCCTCTGGGTGCACAGCGCTGCGGTTTTGGTGTGGTTTTGGGTACGGTTACGCCCCAACTCTCTGTGCTGGCCAGGGCTGCTCCAGGGGTTCTGCTGCTTCATCCGAGATCCCTTAACGGACCCTGGGTTTCTGTCACTGCTGCGGTCAGATCGGGGTTGGTGCTTTGGCTTTGGCTGTGTTATTGTAGGGCCCTCGTTTCATTCGCAGAAACAAAACAGCAGAATTGAAAGCATTGCTCTAAAACAAGGATGGTCCTGAACTTAACCGTGCGTAACCCTGACTAAGCTAATGAGAATTTATTTTCTAGCAGTTAAACACATCCTCTCTTTCTAAATACAGTGCTGTTCTTCACTCTGTCTTTTCCATCTGACTACTTCTGTGCACTTATTGATGACCAGAACGTATCCGGTTTGTTTTTAAGTACGTGTACATGTTCTCATTATTATCAGTAGCAACGCTGAAGGTATGGAATTGGATACAAGAACTCTTGAAACTGGTTCCTTTGGTGTTTTTTGTGTGAGATTCTGACTTGGTCATCGCTGATTGATGACTCAAGCTTTTCTGCTATTATCTTAAGCGCTATTTCCATCTGATTGCTCTCTCTTAATAAATGTGAGTGTCTGTGATTCCTTGCTCCTAAAGATGTGACAGTTTTCTGTGACCTTCATCACTAAATATACTTATCTGTAACATTAATTGTCATTTGACAGCAGAGTGGTCCATCTAGGAGAGCTCGTTCTTCAACTGTCACAGGTGGTGAGGAGCCTACGGTAATAATACTCTTTATCAAGCTCTATCTCTAAATAAAACGTGGGGAGATTTAGGTCTTGTACAACAGAAAACTCACAAAGCAGCAGTGTGCTGAATGAAATACGGCACCAAGTCAATAGTTTTATTTTTTGTTGATTCGAATTTTCTCAGAATTTCTCAAAACGCTTCAGTTTCACTCACACAGTGGCGTGTTTTAATGGTGTGGGTGTGGCACTGAGTTTTGACAAAGCTGTGCACTAAGGAAATACCACAGGCTTCTAAAAAATGAAAGCTGCCATACCTGATTCTTTACAGACTGGTGCTGAAGAGTCAGGGGTTAGAGACACCAAATCAGCATACACGTAGCTGTGTTTTTAGCTGTCATCTGTGTTCTCTTACTCTCCATTAGACTCATTAATTTTAAGTCTTGGAGGTGATCTTAATTTGAGACTGTGGAGATGCAATGATTTATCTTACAGCTCTTCATGGTCTTGTGTAGTGCCAGTTTTCATTCTCCAGTTGTTCAGCAGCCCAAGGCTGAGTTTTCACTTTGATCATCCAGTAAAATTCTGGAAGTGCTTTTATTCCAAGGACAGTGGGGTTTATTCATACTGGACCTTGTCAAAAACACCCCATTCTTTTTTAACCTGATTGAATGTCAGTCTGAAGCAAGTTATTTGATAGAAATCATTTTACAGCAACTATCATAAGTAGCTTTTATGAATATCCGTACACCTAGGTAATTTGTTTCGGGGAAAGAAATGCAGTTTAAACAGGATACGTGTCCTGTTTCCATGGCTCAGAGTGACTGATGTTTTACATTGTCAGTGACAGAAGATGAGTGGATTTGTTACGTGAGTGCGTGCAATGGAGTAGGTGTGGGTACTGCAGGTACAGTGCGTGTTTGGGGAAATATCTCTGTGGTTATCGACCACCTTGCTTTGCGGGATTTACTGCAAGTCCCCAGGGACCTTTCCCACCCCTCTGCAAAGGAGGCTGAGGAAAACACGTTAATGCACCGTGTGTCCCAGCAGCTCCATTCTCGTCACACGTTGTTCTTAACCACGTCACTTTTCCCCCCACTGTTCGTTGCAGACGTTGTTTAAAAGTGTTCAGTTTGGGGTAAGAGGCTCTGGACAAATGTGCAGTGGTAGGGTGCTTTTCACGCGCTGAAGGACAGGCTCTGTGTTGCAGATGGTGTCTGGGTGTCGTTAAGGCGCGAGGAGCAGTGAGTGGGGGCTGCGACAGCTCAGTTTTGGGAGAGCGTAAAGGGGCAGAGCGAGACCTTCCCTGTGCTTCTGTATCCTCCCAGCAGGAGGTGGGAATTGGCAGCATGGGTTGTGTGTTACTACAGCTAAATTACTAGTGTTTTACATTTCACATCTCTGAATTACCCACCCCATCTGTTTACTCCGTACCGTAGGCAATATTAATAGCCTGAACAGAGCAAACGTGTGAGCACGTGTAGCGCTGGCCCAGGAAGTCTGTGATTCGCTGTCAGCCCTCGGTTTCTCACGGACTATCAGATACCTCCATTGTCTCATTTTTAACTGAAGCATCATCTGTGGACTGTCTCAGACCACTTGCTGGGGCCTTACTGACCACCGGGTGACGGTTTGGAAACCACAAGAGCAGTCTTGGAGAAGGGGGGGGGTTCCCACCATTGCCTGTTGCCTCCGTGAGCAGAGACGAGTGGGAAGTGGCAGGAAACAAATCCCTGAGAGTCTCGTGGTTTGTTTCAGGGGCTGTTCCCTGCTTTCCTCAGCTGGTTTCTGTTTCCTGGTGTAGTACATCAGCTCTTTTTTCCTTGACTCAACTGCACAGTTACATCAGTTCTTATTTATCCATGCTAATAAAGGGAAAACACACCCACCTTTTTAAGGAATAAATAATTAAAACTTCTTGTCGTTATGTCTTATCTACAAATTAAAAAGTTCAAGGACGTATGAACTCAGCTGCGTTCTGAACAAGACACCTGAATCTGTGCAAAGGGGAATCAAAAGTTCCATTGTGAGAAAAAATTAGTTGGCTTAAAAGTACTTGAAGAAGCGCTCATAGGAAATGGAATCAGATACAGTGTATTTGTTGTGTTTAAGAGTGTTGTAAGTTAACAAGTTCTTCTTTTTAAACAATAGACCTATGCAATGTACTTTTTTAGCTATTATAAAATAATACAGTAATTTCCTCCTTGCGCAGCCCTCCGTGGCCTACGTACACACCACACCGGGCTTGCCTTCGGGCTGGGAGGAAAGGAAGGATGCGAAGGGCCGCACGTATTACGTCAACCACAACAACCGAACCACAACGTGGACACGGCCCATCATGCAGGTGCGGGTCCGCTACAGCGCTTTGTTTCCATTGGTGCACTGATATCGGGTCTCTTCAGAACTCTGAAACGTGAAAAAATAACATCCTCAGCATTGTCGTGGCAACTCAGGGCAATCGTAAAAGAACTGCAGTGATCGGGATGTGTTACTGCTTTTAAATGTAGTAAGGTACAGATTGGGTCGATTGCTCCAAGGGAAGGAGTTTACAGACAGGTACATACGAACTAACGAAAGGAGTCAAATGCCTCCATAGGGTTGAATTTGAAGTTGTGTCGATCTGTTAATGGTACCATACTGTGTTTGCCCTTCCAATGGAATTAAATGCTTGATCTTTTAGAAAGTGTATTTACTATTTCGTAACAAGAGGAGATACTTGCCCCATTTTTAAGGGTGGTGGCTCTGGATGACCCGTGTTTCTGACGTTTGCCCATTGGTTTTGCTGTGCGGTAGCTTGCAGAGGACGGCATGGTGGGGTCTGCAGCCAACAGCAGCAACCACCTGAGCGAGCCCCAGATCCGGCGGCCCCGCAGCCTCAGCTCCCCCACGGTGACGCTGTCGGCCCCGCTCGAGGTGAGGGCGCCGTGTTGTGCAGCAGCATTACTGAACTTTTATCATCATTGGATGATGTGTTTTGTGAGTGATTATTTGGTTTGGTGAGCTAAAGCATAATCTGCGTGTGTGTCTGAAGCCTAAGTTGTTGTGACTCCCTTTAAGTGCTGTGAGTATGTAAAATCAGAAATATTTTTTTAAGTTGAAATATTTATGCTGATAACTTTGAAAATAATGCAAGCAATTGAGTTCGGAAAATCTTTGCATTAAGACACTGATTGTGTTTTATATTCCTCATCTTCCAAAAGGATATTTGATTTCTTTTAAGTAGCTTTACAAGTAATTCAGAATACTGTTGAATTATGTTCACTGCAGCATGTTTGAGGAACAACTTAAGTGGCTGCTTATGCAAAGACAATGATTTACTGAACCTTAAAAATCAGCAAAGAAGAAACCAATCCATTATCAGCTAAGTGCATGTTTGTGGACAGTAACTGAAAAGTACAAATGCAAACAGCATTCGCACATGGTGCTGAAGTCTTGTTTTCTGAGGGCGATAGTCTGTGCTTTCAAAGGTGACTACATCTGGATCAAAGCCAAACCACACCAAAACACATCATGCAGCCCCTGTTTTTAACCACTAGCCATCCATCAGTGAAGCAGTTTTGCTGCTGTGATCATTTATTTTTAAAGTGTTGTCTAAAATCTGTAATTGCAAACTTCCGCTTATCTTAGGAACTTGTTTTCGGTTCATTTTTAACGGCGTTGTCTGAAGTTGTAGGTAGGAAATGCGTTGAAAATTGGGTAACATCACCTCACATTCAGGCTACTCTCTTGTTGTAAAGTGAGGAATATTGCACTGTGAAACACGAAGGAATGCTTTTATTTTTTCCTTCATAAAATGGAATATTGAGATGCCCAGGGCAGCTGCAGGAAGATACATAATCCAATGTAAATGCCGTGGACGTTATCGCTGCAGAGAGAAGTGACCACACGCTGAGTCCTTCACTGCCAAAAGCTCGGTGTGGTACAAGGAGTAGAATTCAGCCAAGTCAGTTCTGGGAACTCAGGCCAGCGCTTACCTCTGGTGCTAATTGCATCTGGAATGAAAAGCTGTTTGCTGTGCAGCCGCGGTTCGCTCATTTTACAGCATGGAGTGCCCTTTGACAGCTCTGTCTCTCTGGCTTTCTGCAGGGCATGAAGGACTCCCCGGTGCGCAGGGCGGTGAAGGACACCCTGTCCAACCCGCAGTCCCCGCAGCCCTCGCCCTACAACTCCCCCAAACCCCAGCACAAGGTGGCACAGAGCTTCCTCCCTCCTGGCTGGGAGATGCGGATAGCGCCCAATGGCAGGCCCTTCTTCATTGATCACAACACCAAAACCACCACATGGGTAAGAGAAGCTCTGGGTCATGCTTTTAAATCAGGGGTTGTCTCTCAAATGTCTGGTTTCCTGTCTATGTACCCCCATTTTATTACTGTATCCATCTGTGAGGGGGGTTGTCAGCCTGTAATACCTGTAAATAGCGCCTGTGCATTGAGAAAATGTAAGGTCACCTTCATCCTTTTCAAGCCTGTTTGTGATAGCATGGCTTGTGATGTTTTTAAGAGCCAAAATGTGTGTGTGTGTAAATGTGGCTTTGGGAGTGCGTGCGCTGCTCAGAGCAGGGCTCTGGATAGAGCACATTAAATGGAGTCGCTCTCTTACATCACCTTAACTAACTCTTAGCATTTAGAACATCAGCATATGAATCCTGATAAAGTACGTGACGCATGCAAATACTGAATGTTTTATCACTTTTGTACGTTTAGTTCTATATAACCGTAATGTAGGAAGATTTCCAGGTAATTCTGTGCTTGACTGAGACAGTAGACCTAAGTTGATCTGTTGGGTTCACGGTTGTGTGTTTCTGTTACAGGAGGATCCACGACTGAAATTCCCAGTGCATCTGAGATCAAAAGCATCTTTGAACCCCAATGATTTGGGCCCTCTTCCTGTAAGTGATAATGTGTATGTATTTTAATATATACCTGCTATCTGATGTCATCTGGTCTGTTACTGCAGTCACATCTTGTGTGTGGACGCATCACGCTGCTGTCGTCGCTTGTCTGAAGATGCCAATGTTATGTTTAGATGTAGCACCAAAAAGCTTTGTTGTGGTCTGTGAATGAGTGAGGCCAGCCCGTGGCATTTCTGAAACAATTGCATGTTTCTTTGCTTCTCTGCAGCTTTGAGCTTTGCAGAAACATACCTTGGTTTTACCTTTGTGCTTTTGGATAGTTGCCTATTGCTGCCTATTGCTGGAGCGGATCGTTCAAAGCGAGCTCCGTTAATGTACCAGCATATACTGGCATTCGGAAATTGAAATAAGTTTTGATTTTTTCAAAGAAACTTAGGTATTCTGCAGAGAAAAAAAAATCATTTTAACGTCAGAAGTTTTGTCACACTTGTAACCAAAGTGTAATATTGATTTGCAGCCATGTCAAATACAGAGCCTTGCTTTGTTTTTAAAAAAGTGCATCCTTAATGGCAGAGACCGGTCCGTGACAGCTCACGCTTGTTCCAAGGTGCTGATTTTTACAGCATAGTGTTAATTCAGCTGATTGCCTCATAAATACTGAGCATACTTTTGAGAAATGGCCACAGAAATTGTACTTGCAGTGCTGGGAGCCCTAGTGCCAGCGAGCCCCTCGTTGTCTCCAGCACTCCCAGTGCCCCAGCCTGTGCTGGGGACCAGCAAACAGCTGTGCCAGCAGAAGGGGCCACTGTGCCACCCTGCAGGAGACGGCAGGTTCAGTCGTTTTAGCATTATGCAGTTTGGATAAGGAGTCTTTAATCCTCCTCATTGTCACTGAGCTGGGTTACGGTTTACTTACTCTGCCAGCAGCCCAAAACGGGTGCTGCTTTTGGGAAGTGGTGACAAGTGGTACCTTTGGTGAGGGGCAGTAACCTCTGGTACCTATAGCATCCTCCTAGCAGTAATGCAGTTTGTCTTTAAGAAAACAGCTCTGGAAGTAGCTGCTCTTTTGCAGTCCCTCAAATACACTGAGCATGCATTCATCTTCGAGGACACACTGCTTAGACAGGAGATGCTGCACAGGCGGAACTGCAGGGCTGGTTTACAGTTTATTCTCTTAATTGCAAGAGATAAAGCATGCGGTGAAATCAGGATAACCTGACATATATCACTGGAAGTATTTAATTAGTAACAGATTTAAACTCGGTTAAAGAATCCATTTTTGAGTGAGAATTTAAGAAGAGTTTCTCAAAAAAGATGGGAGTGATATCATTTCTCATCTGTATTTATAGAAGTCTGAGGCTCACGTAGACCATACAGGGGGTGTGAGTGCTGACTGCACAGCATTGCGTGTGCCATCAGTGTGCTGTGTATTCTGCTCTCTGTACTGTAATGATTTGGAGGATGAGACAAGGGAATGGGTAACAGAGGCAGAGTTGAGGACTAGGTAATAGACATTCTAGTCCCACTGGACTGGATCCTGGTACAACTCCACAGTAAATAACCCACATGGTTCAGAAATAGAAGCAGAAACTCTCAGACCTCACCAGCCGTGGACAGTGTATTCTTTGTGATCATTTCCTCGTAACAGGAGATGGGTATAAACCTTGATGCAAGGAGTTTCTGCTTCCAAGCTTTAGAAAGATACTTACTGAACTGGATACAGTTACCTGAATAAACAGCCAGTTCTTTGAATCTTCCTGGATTCTGGGCCTTGACGCAATGACGTGATGATTTTGTGTTTTCTGCCTCATCCATCAGACAGTTTAAGTAGGTGTGAGTAATGTGTTGCTTCACGCTGTGTGAGAGTGGTGGTATGTCACTTATTTTCTCTTTTTCTTTCTTGTTTCCCGATTCCAGCCCGGTTGGGAGGAAAGAATACATTTGGATGGAAGAACGTTTTATATAGACCATAGTAAGTAAGCACTCGGGTACTACAGCAAATAGACAAAGGGAGATAATCAATATTGAAGTGAAAGCTTTATAATTTTACTCTTCATTTAGGAAGCCAGGTGTTGATATGTGGAGACATTGATACCAGAGACTTAGTGCCCTCGTACGGTACTGTATATTCACCGAAAGCTTGCTTTTAATTGGCTCATCAAGCTTTGTCCCTCTCTGACTTGTGAAGCATTAACATTTCTTCTTTGTGGTTTCTTTTGTTCTCGTTGATATTTTGGATTCGTTGTTGTTGTTGTTGATGACCTCATGGCTTATTTGCACTTAATAAATTAAAACACACACTAGGAATAGAAAATAAGATGAGAAAAGATCATGTAGCCACAACTCCACATACAGGCAGTGGAGAAATTAGCACTGATACGTACTCCTTCCTCTCCTTTAAGGTCTTGTGGCAGTGCTGATTCTGATCTTATTTCCTATTTATAGCATGTCAAACTGCACCCAGCCCATTAATATGATTCAGTTCTGTTAGTGGAGTTGTAGTGTAAGTGATGTTTCATTGTAGACTTGTCTTACTGCAGCATCCCAGAACTCCTGTGTGACTTTCTGTTGGTGTTGGAAATGAAGCAGCCCAGGGGGGTTGTTTCTTCGTTATTTTCTTTGTGAGACTTCAGCTGGACACTTCAGTGAGGTGTTGCTGCTGAGGGCAGACACAGACAACTCACAAAACCATTAGAAAGAGGGTACATGTACTGTGCTAAACTTAAAGAATTAAAATCTTAACCTGTTATACATATTTGATAGCATTTCATTTTTCCTTCAGTATCAGTAGCACTGCCCCAATTTTTGTCTGTAGTATATATGGCATTGCCATTATGAAAAGGCTGTCTCTAATGAGTTTTGAAATTATATAAATAGTTTCACATAAAAATCAGAAATAATACACTCATAAAGTACAAGATTAACCTCTCAAGCATCAGTATTCTTGATGACTTCTGTAGCCGTTTTTCCAACAGATACCTGGAAACTTAAAGATGGCAAATTATTCTAAACTGCTGCCACTGAAGAGTCACAGAATGAAACTGTCCATTTAAAATATCTGTGTAGTTGTTGAGCCTCTCAGCCTCCTTTAAAAAGTTTCCAGTCTCCTAAATCTACTTAAGCACGTGTTAGTCTGTAGAAGTAAATGGAGTGCTGCAGTGGTACATTAATTACAATTCCCCAAAGACCTTGTAATTGTTATAAAACTAAATTTACTTGCATCTGAAATCCCTCTGGTCCCTCTTTTCATCTGAGGTTTTTTAGCTCTTTATGTAGCAGTTTCACAGAGGTTTGGAGGGTTTTTTATAATGCTGTTTGCAGCGATGATCCCGCTCTGGAGCCCCAGCACCGCCCCACAGGGGGCTCCAGAGCAGCGGCAGTGGCAGGGCCACGGCGTGGAGCTGCAGCTCGGGTGCTGCAGCGCTGGGCTCGGTGTTTCGGGAGCGGCCACACTCGGTGCTTTGAGCAATCTCCAGCAGCGCTGGTTTTCAGGGCTTCTTTGGGCGTGAGGAGAGATTTGTGACAGCCGCTGTGTCCTGGGTGCTCCCCGAAATAGGCAGCTCTCAGCAGTCTGTTCCTGGGATAAACTGGCCATCATCTCAGTCGTGCTCTGCTAAAGCGGTCGGTTCAGATGCCACAAATGTCCTCAGTTTCATTACTGGAACACAATAAATGATAAATGTTGGCACTGCTGTTCATGTCCTGGGTCACCAGGTACGTTTTGTAACTCTCCAGCGTAATTATCCAACACTGTTGTCCCATTTTTGAAACGTTTTTCTCATCCCTGAGAGAAACAGTGAAAAAGCCTAATGCAACAGCACAGAAACCTCCTCTTGTGGAGCAATACCAACTGCTATTAGGCATGCCACATCAACTAGTAAAGCAAAGTACTGTTAAAACAATTTAGGTGTTACTTGTGACATAGCAGCCTGAAAATACAATATGTATAGATTTTAACTGTAAACAGTTCTAAGTTCTGCAGCAGTCAATCTTTCAACAAAAAGTACAGCCTCTGGTTGTCCGTGGCTGGCCCTTAGCTGAGGAAACATCGTTTGCCATCCACGAATAAAGCAGTGTTCTCCATTCATTGTGATGTGAATTACACTGCTGCGTTCCTGGAAGCCTTGTAGGGAATAGGATGGACCTGCTGGACGGTGCCACGGAGGAAAACACAAAGCTCTTCCAGCTGTCAGGGGTCACTGACAGAGGGATGGATGTGTTAATGGGTTCCCCTCTAAGTCTGCCTTGGAGCCACCATTTGTCAGTCGATTAATTAGTGATTTGAACAGTTAGTGGGTTCAGCAGAAGACAGCAGGAGAGGCGCGAGGTGCTCACTGGAACAAGATGAGAAATCAGAACAGGTCCGCTGTAGTGTGAAGTAAGGGCTGTTTAATACGAATGGTGAAGTATTACTCAGAATGGGAGTAGTTAGCAGAACTTTGGTTGCAGAGGACATGAAAAATGAGTTCCCTCATCCTGTGACGTGTCTCAAGTAGGGCCTGAAGTCGTCCTGATCTCCAGCACTGGTTGTGTTTCGGCGAGGGTGATGCTGTTTCTGGCCAGGGGTGCTGAGCCTCAGGGGCATAGCGGACCACTTGGAAAGGGACCAAGGGAGCAGGAGAGGAGGGAATCCTCACAGGCCTAGGGCCCAATTTAGAGTCTTTTCCAGCAGTAGAAACATGGAGAATACTTGTGGTTCAATCTGAGTGGGCTTGGTTCTTTCTTTGACCGATAGTAGCCATCAAAACAACTTTTTTGAAACTTAGTGTTTACTCCTAAACCTTGCAATTACAGAACTTAAAATCTGGACTGCTCTCTTAATATACGGTGCACAACTCCCAGCAGCACGTGTAAGGAGCAGAGGCATTGCCGTTGCCCCGTCAGCGCAGGATTTGGGCGGTTTGCCCTTGCCCTTGCAGGGGCATCAGTTTGGTTCTGGGAGCGTTGTCTCGTCGTTGCAGCACCATCGTTTTGTTGTGACTCTGTCGTGTTCAGAGCTCTCCAGGAGCCGTGTGTGGAGGCAGGGGTCCCCCGGTCCCGTACAACCTCACCGTGTCCCTCCCGGGGCTCCTGGGGCTGTAGCTGAAAGAGGGGAGTCTGTCATGGCAAAGCTCCTTTGGTCTCACCCGAGCGATCTCTTAGCCCTGAATCTGTCATTTTGCTCCCCTATGTGGTCCTGTAGCCTTTTCATTAAATCAGTGTCTAGGACTTCTTAGTTTTTTAAAAAGGAGATGTTACTCCCTCCAAATTTAAATACAGGCTGTCTTTTGTAAGTGTTACATTTGGACTGTCTTTATGCAAAATTTCAAAAAAGTAAACTTAGTTTGTCATTTGACCAAGTTTTTGGGTTCCTTTACCTTTCAGGCATGAAGTCTGTGTATTTCTAATATGAGTTGAATCTAAGACCATGTTCAAATAGAACATGTTCACTACTACAGACGTTGAAATAAAAGCAGTGTAAATACACTGGATTCCGTTGTAGTTCTGCATTTTTGAATGAGTGTTTTCAACTAAACAGTGTGATGGGGTTTGGTGTAGATGGGTGAATGCAGCCTTTTCTAACCCTGAAATACTAAGTTGTGGAACCAGTAGGGAAAACAGTTGTAGGGAGAACAAAACAACATAAATCCAGAGTGTGGTAGCAGAGAAGTAATGATATAATTCATTTTGTTATTTACAGATAATAAAATTACCCAGTGGGAAGATCCCAGACTGCAGAACCCAGCGATTACTGGTCCAGTAAGTACTGCTATGTTGTTTTTTCCATCAAATGCCATGACTCACGTACATCCAGCATAGGCAGGAGGCATTACCCGGCTGCAGATCCTCCCCAGTCCAGACCAGCTCAGACCACAAAGCAAGACCTCGGCCTTGGGTGCCTTCTCCTGACAGACACGGGAGGCTCCGGTGCCGCTGGTGGGAGTGTGCAGGGGCAGGGGAGCTGCCGCGGTTGCACCTGCCAGGGACACGCTGTCCTGCCCTGCCCTGCCCTGCCCCATCCTGCCCTGTCCCGTCCCCAGGTGATTGGTGCCGCTCTGCGGTCCCCACTCTGCCCTGCGTACGTGGCAGCGCTGGGGGCTCTGCAGCTCCAGGGTCCCAAGCAGCTGGGGTGGATGAGGAGTCACCCGGCACTGGAGCCGCGGTGCTGTGGGGTTCGGAGGGACCAGACTTCAACCCTGAGGTGTTTCTGAGTGCCAGGGTTTCCTTCTTATTTTGGGTTAAATCCTCAGGACCCTCAAGGATCTCAGGACACAGCAGATTAACTGCTGCATGGTGTAATTCCAATTGCTCTTGCTTATTAATAAGATTAATAATAATTACTTGTTTGAACATAATTGCTTTTGGAGTAATTTACCCATTTATCATGCATTTGCTGCTTGAGAGACTAATACCCGGTGTGCTATATGAATTCTTCATGTTCATTTTCCCAGAAACGTTAAGCATAAATGAGAAAGACTGGGAAATTTTGTTTCAAGATTAGGGTCAGTCATGATTCCATTAAGTAAATAACAGTTATGTGTGTGTGTGTTTGGTTTTTAACGAGAAAGCAAGACCGAGTTCATTTTACAGCTGTATAGGCATTAAGGATTCATCTTAATGCTTTTAATAGTATTTTGGTGCCATGACAAAACCAAAGAACTACTTAAATCGCATTTCACATTGCATTTAAACAATGCAAACGTTGAAAGATTATGTCATGGCTGTGGAAAAGTCATCTTATCAGTAAAATTGGTCTGTTTGATTTTTTTTAATTTTCCGTGTCTCATCGTTCACAAGAGAAAGCTGCTATAGAAATATTTTCACCTCCTGCTCTCAGCTCCCTCCAGTCACGAATCTCCTCCAAGAGCAGCCCACACCTTCCCTCCCCCAAAATCCCAGTCCCCTCCCAGGCACTGAGCTTGAGCCAGGGCTTTGCCGTGTGTCCATCGCCTGCGGGGATCGGAGGCGCAGCTTTGGTGGGTTTTTCTCCCCATGCCCTCAGCTGTTGGTCACCACCTTCTGCTGGGCCTGCGCCTTCGTCTGGGCGCACGGAGAGGAAAGGGGGGGCTGGAGACGTCGCGATGGGGCCGGGCAGCGCTGAGGGTGGAGTGGTGTTTGCTGCCTGTGGCACGGCTTTGCTTGGCCCCTTCGCTGCTCGGGTCCATTGTCATCGCTGTGGATTTGGTGTTTTGGTAGCATGGACAGCGCTTGGCACTTCCAGCTCTGCAGATCCACGTTCTGCGGCCACTCTGGGCATTTCTACAATCCAGTGCCCTATGGCCAATAGGACACGTGGGGGGCAGCAGTGCGTCCCAGGGGGGTTTTGTCCATGTTAGAAATGATTTTTGCTATTTCCTGTTCCTAAAAGAAGGAAAAAGAAAGAGGGTAAGTAGCTGATAAACAGGAGAACTGGGTCAAAAGTTTTCATAACTTTTAACTCAAATTGCACACAGAAATGGGAACATTTTGGCTGCTGTACTTGATGCGTGGTGGCTTTTGCTGGATGAGAACCTATGGCGTACATACGTAGATAGCGTGTCTTTACATTACTTTTTTGTGTCCATGCTGTCTCAAACTGCTCAGTACGTGACACAGCCTGTATTTATGGCTCTCTCTGGCAGGCAGTTCCGTATTCCAGGGAGTTCAAGCAGAAGTACGACTATTTCCGGAAGAAGTTAAAGAAACCAGTGAGTAAAACTGTGCTCTGTGCTGGGGAAGCGCCGGCTGCGGGGCACGGGCACAGGATGGTGCAGTGTCTGCCCGTGACACTGCCAGGTCTGGGTTGTGCTGCTGCTAATGGGGCAACTGGGAACGGAAAAATGAAGAAACAGTGGCATTCGATTGGTTTCTCAACAAGAACATTTACACACCTTTAAGACTCGCATTTGCCTGTTTTCTGGCCGGTTTCCCTTTGCTCACAGCTTTGCTGCTGTTCCCGTTGTGTGTACGCTGCTGTAGGTGTTCTTGTTGGGAAAGCGCTCTGGCCTTCATGGAGCCGTGAGTAAAGCGGTTGCATAAATCTTGTGCATTTATTACCATTTTAGGCTGAAATGCCCCTAACACTGAGCATAGTAATGTAATTTTTTTTCCCATTTGTTTTTTTTTCTTGCGGTTGTCATTGTTTTGTGAAATATCATAGAAGTCTCTGAAGCTGTACTGGAACTTACCTGATTCACCATGTGCCGTCAGCCTGGAGGCTGAGAGCGCTCTGGAAAGCAAAAATCAGGGGAAACTTTATACATCAGCTGTTTTCTCCCTCGTGTAGTTGTTACCACCGGTCAGTAATTTGCCTGGAGACTTATTTCTTGAGACTAACAAGTGTAATGTGCTCTCTTTTCACATAGGCTGATATACCGAACAGGTTTGAGATGAAGCTGCACAGAAATAATATTTTTGAGGAGTCCTACAGGAGAATCATGTCTGTGAAGAGACCCGATGTACTGAAAGCCAGGCTCTGGATTGAATTTGAGTCAGAAAAAGGACTGGACTACGGAGGTGTGGCCAGAGAATGGTTTTTTCTCTTGTCCAAGGAGATGTTTAACCCTTACTATGGTCTCTTTGAATATTCAGCAACGTAAGTGTCCATTAAAATATTTCCATTCATAGGGCATATACGCTGTGTTTTGCTTAAGAGGCAAAGTTACGTGGACAGCACTGAGAGGTGCATCAGTGCAGGCTCTTACTGGTCACGTCTCGCTGTTCTGTGCTCCCATTTCTTACGCTTCAGAGAACCTTTCAAATTGTCGATGAAAATTCATAACACCTCTTCATTATTAATTAATATTAATGAATATTAATCAGTATTTAGTGTTGCCTTGCTTGCAGCAAAACTGCAGGTTTAGAGGCTCATGGCAGTGAAGGGAGCAGCATGGGACACAGATGTTTGTCCCTCCCGTTGCAGCACAGCTGCTGCTGCCCAGAATGGGAGTGCTCCTTTATCGCTGGCTCATAAAGCAGCTTCTCTGCAGTGGCCTTACATAGATTTACATTTGGGTTTGTCCAGTTTAACATCTTTGAGCAATTCATGAGTATAAACGAGAGAGAAGTCTCTTGCTTCAAGCACGTGTGTTTGGATGTGCTGTCTGCAGCTCCCACCGTGCAGGGGGCTGTGCAGGGTTCAGCTCTGTGCTCGCTCCCTTCTCTGCGGTGCTGACGGGGTGGGAAGGGGGTGCACCAAGAGGGCGTGGGGGGGTTTGCACATTTGTCTCAGAAAAGGCACCTTTTGCTGCGGAAGAGAAACTACAGCGACTGCACAGAGTGGCTGTGAACAGGGAACGGCCCTAAGCTCAAGTTATTCCAGGGAACTGCTGGAGAGAGTCCAGCGTAGGGCTACAAAGATGATGGAGGGAGTGGAGCATCTCCCTTCTGAGGAGCGGCTGAGGGAGCTGGGGCTCTTTAGTTTGCAGAAGAGGAGACTGAGGGGAGACCTCATTCATGTTGATAAATATTTAAAGGGTGAGTGTCACGAGGATGGAGCCAGGCTCTTCTCGGTGACAAACAATGATAAGACAAGGGGTAACGGACACAAACTGGAACACAGGAGGCTCAACTTCAATTGGAGAAGAAACTTCTTCTCAGTGAGGGTGCCAGAGCCCTGGCCCAGGCTGCCCAGAGAGGTTGTGGAGTCTCCTTCTCTGCAGACATTCAAAACCCACCTGGACGCCTTCCTGTGTAACCTCATCTGGGTGTTCCTGCTCCGGCAGGGGGATTGGACTGGATGAGCTTTGGAGGGCCCTTCCAATCCCTAATATTCTGTGGTTCTGTGATTCTGTATCTGAATATCTGCTCATTTAAAGACTTGGTTATTTAGATGGTTTTTTTTTCTTTCCCCAAAAAAGGGACAACTATACACTTCAGATTAATCCTAATTCAGGTCTCTGTAACGAAGATCACCTGTCGTATTTCACGTTTATCGGCCGGGTTGCTGGTCTGGCGGTGTACCACGGGAAGCTGCTGGATGGTGAGTTACTGCGCTGCGCGGCCATGCTGCTGCTGCGGGGCTTTATTAATGAAACAAGTCCCTGCAGCGGCTTGTGTGCCGTAGAGCGGTATTTCAAAGTGATGGCACTGGAACTGCTGGGAATCACATTCCCGATGTGATCTCAGTGTCTTACTCAACATAAACACCTTTCATAGAAAGGTTTGCTCCTTTCTCCACTCGTGCTGAAGCTGCAGAATCAGCATTGCTAAATAATCACTGTCCCTAAAGGGAAATCGCTCCATTCATATCAGCCATTTCCATGCCAACCTGCAGCCAGAGCAGTTGTGTGGGTCTCAATTGGAGCGTATTTCAATGTGTAAAATTATTACTGAATAATTTAATGAGAAAATATGATTTCTGCCAAACGTTGAAATCCTGCAGTAAGCAAGTAAGCAAATGTTATAAATTGACTGTATTTTGCTTAGCAGTAGTGCAGCACATGAGCAGAGGAAGCTCAGCCCTGCTTCTCTGGCGTCTCCTTTGAGACAAGGATGGCAATTTTAAGTGGATTGGAGCACCTTGAGCTCACCTACCTGTCTGTGTGCCTCTACCAACAATGTTAAGGTGTTTGATGGCTTATGGTAATTAATGGCATAATTCTTGTAATTGGAAAATTGGACTTCCCATGTCTAAGCATAAAATGAGGCACTTACAGCGCTGGTACTGAGGAGGGTCCTTTCCTGCTGTCCCGCTGCACTCCCGTGGTGTGTTACCCCTGGGCAGTTACAGCGCTGGTACTGAGGAGGGTCCTTTCCTGCTGTCCCGCTGCACTCCCGTGGTGTGTTACCCCTGAGCACTTACAGCGCTGGTACTCCCAGGAGGGTCCTTTCCTGCTGTCACAGCCTTGAGCAGCCGTGTCTTCGTGTGAGGTGAGAGTGCGGGACAGGGGAGGTAACGCTCTGCCCTCTTTTAGGCTTCTTCATCCGACCGTTCTACAAGATGATGCTGGGGAAGCCGATAACCCTGAAGGACATGGAGTCAGTGGTAAGAAAACCTTTAACCCCGTCTGCAGTTCGTGACGTTCTGAGTTGCAGACTTTCGGTTCCTGACACAATGCCAGTTCAACACCCTAATCTCTCCTCCAGCTCCCACCACCTCATAGTCCCCACATTTTGGCAGCTCATTCTTCTTTTGAAGCGCATACAAGTAAATCATGTTACAACTTTATTTTTAAATTAATCTCATGCTTGGAAGTACTTATAGATAGTTACATATACTTATTTCTTTGTTTTGTGGTTAGTCTTTAATCATGAACCTAATACATGGCGAAGATACAACCCTTTTAGGATATTTCAGAGGTCTTTTATTCAGCAAACTTCAAGGTGCACAGTTCTATCAAGCAGACATTTTCTAACCAATTACTTCACACCACTGTATACATATTGACTTTATAGATACACAGAGTCAGCGTGTTGTGTTGTAGAATAGTGCAATTACAAGTCAGGTAAGAAGAGTTACGTGAATCTAAAAATACAGCATGTAAGAAAAATACATGTGAAGAAAGTAATCCATCTTACCCAGCTTTTCAGTAGCTGTGCAAATAAAGGAGTTTTCATCTTTCTGGTCCCTCTGGAGTCCTGGTTTTAGATGTTTTTATTTGTTCATTTAAAAAGTTAAACTATACATTTATGCATTTACAGTTAATGTTTGCATTTCAAGCTATGTTTAATTCTAACCTGCTCTAGGACAGTGAGTACTACAACTCCTTGAAGTGGATCCTGGAAAATGACCCTACGGAGCTTGATCTCATGTTTTGCATAGACGAGGAAAACTTTGGACAGGTATGTGAAGGTCACGCAGGAAGTCTTTATTTCCACCTTATTACTGACTATTGCCAAAAAGGAATGAAATGCTGAGCAGGCTCTGAGGGCTGTGGACTCGATGGCGGCTGTGGAGCGTTAGTGACCAGTGCAGGCAGAACAGGAAGTGTTGCTCTCCTGGGTGGGCTCTGCTGGCAGTGAGCAGTGGTGCAGGTAAACAGTGCAGGTACGCACAGACGTGCACACACACAGAGACAGACCGACAGACACAGACAGACCGACACACACACACAGACACACAGAGACACACACAGATGGAGGGATGGACACAGACACACAGAGACGGACAGACACATGGATGGAAAGACACACAGACGGACACACGGATGGAAAGACACACGGACCTATGGACGGACAGGCGGGCGGACAGACAGATGGACAGACAGATGGACACATGGAAAGACACACAGACAAACACACAGACACGGACGGACACACGGACAGACAGATGGACAGATGGTCAGATGACGTCTGTCCGTGTGTCCGTCTGTCTGTCCCAACTGTCCGTGTGTCTGTCCATCCGTGTCCATCTGTCCATCCATCTGTCTGTGTGTGTGTCTGTCTTTCCGTCTGTCCATCTGTCTGTCCATCTATCTGTCCGTGTGTTTATCTGGCCATGTGTCCATGTCTCTGTCCATGTGTCTGTTTGTCCTTGTGTCCGTCCATCCGTCCGTCTGTGTGTCTGTCCATGTCTCTGTGTCCGTCTGTCCGTGTGTCCGTCCATCCGTCTGACCATGTCTCTGTCCATCTGTCCATTCGTGTGTCCATCCGTCTGTCCAGCTGTCTGTCTGTCTGTGTCTGTCCATCTGTGTGTCTGTTCATCTGTCCGTCCATCTGTGTGTCCGTCTGTCTATCCTCGTGTCCATCTGTCCGTGTCTCTGTCCGTTTGTCCGTCCATCTGTCTGTGTGGCTGTCTGTCCATGTGTTTTGTCTGTCCGTCCATGGCTGGCTGTCCGTGTGTCTGTCCATGTGTCCATCCGTGTGTGTCTGTCTGTCCGTCAGTCTGTCCATGTGTCTGTCCATCTGTGTGTCTGTCGCTCTGTGTCCGTCTGTCCATCCGTGTGTCTGGGTGTCCCTGTGTCTGTTTGTCCATCCGTGCGTCCGTGCGTCTTTCCATATGTCTGCCCGTGTGTCCGTCTGTCTGTGTGTCCATGTGTCTGTCTGTATGTCTATCTGTCTGTGTGTCCATCTGACCAGCTGTCTGTCTGTCCATGTGTCTATCTGTCCATCAGTCTGGCTGTCTGTCCATCCGTGTGTCTGTCGGAATGTGTGTCTATCCGTCTGTCCATCCATCTGTCTGTGTCCATCTGTCCATGTGTCTGTCCATCTGTCTGTCCGTGTGTCTGTCCGTCTGTCCCTGTGTTCATCTGTCCATCTGTCCGTGTGTCCATCCTCTGTCCGTGTGTCCGTCTGTCCATCCATGTGTCTGTCAGTCTGTCCATCTGTGTGTCTGTCCGTCTGTCCATCTGTCTGTGTGTCTGTCGATCTGTCTGGACAGATGGACAAACAGAAAGACACACAGACATATGGAAAGACACATGGACACACAGACTCATGGACGGACAGAATCACACAGACTGAAGGACAGACGGACAGACAGATGGATGCACAGACGGATGGACACACCAATGGACGGACAGACATGAAAAGACAGACACAGACACATGGACAGACAGATGGATAGACACACAGACACGAACAGACACATGGACAGACAGACGGACAGAGGGACGGACACACGGACACAGATGGACAGAGGGACGGACACACGGATGCATGGACAGACAGACGGACGGACAGAGGGACAGACACGCAGATGCACGGACAGACAGACACACGGACAGGCACAGACACATGGAGAGATGGACAGACAAAGGAACAGAGGGACAGACGGACAGAGGGACAGACAGACAGACGGACAGATGGACGGATGGACACACGGACAGACAGACACATGGACAGACAGACACACGGAGAAATGGACAGACGGACGGACACATGGACAGACAGACACGGACAGACAGACACACGGACAGATGGACGGACACATGGACAGACAGATGGACACGGACAGACAAATGGACAGAGGGACGGACACACGGACAGACAGAGGGACGGACACACAGACAGAGGTACAGACACGGACAGACGGACGGACGCACAGACAGACGGACAGACAGACTGATACACGGACACACGGATGGACAGACAGACGGACACACGGACAGAGACACGGACAGAGGGACGGACATATGGACGCACGGACAGACGGACACACAGACAGGCACACGGACAGACAGATACACGGACAGACACATGGACAGACAGAAGGA